TTTATTCATTAACTCCAAAAGTATTAGCTGTCGGAGATTCTGTATCCACTATCCCTTGATAGAAACTAGAAATTTGAAACTAGCTTCATAAAACATTCAATAATCAACAACCATAGGCACAAATTTGCAACTACAAACTTTAAAGTTACAAAATACTAAAAACTAAAAGTCCATGAAGATTAAAGAGATCTAAAATCAAGCTCAAGAAGAGTCAATATAATCATCATTTTTTTGGGGGATTTAATCCCCCCAAACCCTTTCCTCAAATCAACACCCAAAAGATACAAATCAACAACCAAGCATCAACAAATGCACAAATCGAAGAATTTCAACACATAAAATTTCCACCCAATTATTATTTTTTGATTCAATCGATCCAATAAAAGCCACGGATGTGGTTGAAAAATGTTGTTTGAGGGGTTTAATACTCCCCCAAACCCTTTTCCCAAATTTTTGAAGGTCAAAATGACCTTATTACCACTTCCCTAGGGATACAGTTTAGAAAAAAAATGGTGGAAGATTATTTGGCTTGATGCGGTGAGATGCGGGATGCATCTCTAATGTGGAGAGATGCGGCGCATATGGGGACGCATCTCTCCAAACCGCATATGCGGGGGTTTTCGATGCGTTGCCCAACACATAGCGCCTGATGCGGTTGCATTTTAAAACATTGATATAAACTTATTGAGAGAGTATTAATCGTGAAAACAATTATTGCAAGATTGCCACGAAATATAGATATAGCACTTCTGATTTCTTTCCTACTATAACTTTTCCAACTAAATTTGGCATGCTTTCTTTTAGTTGTGAAGACTGGATGATGAGTTCTAAGGTTTTGGTACGGATGGCTTGCTTTCCAAGTTGTTGTCAATGGTATTGATAGAGGAGGTGGGTAGATGTCTATTGGTGGTGCGCCTTACCTTTAAATGCCTGTACACTTGGTCTTTGAGTAAAGCCCTGTTAAGTTTTCCTCATTTATATGTCCTCATGCTTTATGCTTATGGATTAATATTAGTTTGGGTCGAGTGTGCTCTACTTTGGTACCTACAGTTGCGCATTAGGGACTTGGGCTCTATCTGGGACATAGTGCAATCCATAACTCTTGCCTTGAATACATGAGTGAACTTGAGGCTGGTTATTTTTGGTCTCATGATGTGCATCACCAAACAGGGTCCACAGGTACCCTGTCGAGGTTGGCATAGCTAGGTTGGCAGGTATTATTTGCAGCCGTGAGATGAAAGAGGCTCATGTGACATAGGATGTGGGAGCGCTTTTGAGGCACTTGAGCGTCGACAATGGAATCTTACACAACATGCATATTGCTAGTTGCCTTTCTATGTGATCTTAAAGAGTCTTAGATCTATGCGATCATAGAAAATCTCCGATCTGTGTAATCTTAGAGTCTTGGATCTATGTGATCTTGGAGTTTTATTTGGCGTGTGTGACCGTTAACATACATGTGCCTAAGAGAGACTGCCTTACACAAGGAGATAACCTGGAAGCTCCTATACTCGTATTTTTGATCTGTGTATTGGACCCTAAACTTGTCCTTGGGAAAGCATGTGGAATCTATGGCTACTTGTGGACTATGGCATTTCTATGCTGCCTTGGCCAACTTCGATAGGCCAATTATTAGCCTCTCGCATGGGAGACCTTTGGCTCGTGGTTCGGTCGATGTGGTGAGGTTTAGATGTGGTATAGAATAGTCACAGAGCATCTGGTAGAAGGATTCTGTTTCTGTGCTAGCAAACTCTAGTCAAGAGGTTTTCCAAAGGCTCATTGAGGAAATTTTTTTTATTTGCTATATTTAACAACCTAAATATTGTTGAGTGAATTTTGTATTGAAAGAATAGAGATTTTTGAAATAAAATATTTGTTGTTACTTTGTTTCATAGGAATCAGTGTGGAGCCTACTATTCACACGGATATGGCTTACTCTCTGGCTTTGTTTCATATCCATGTTGGCCACATGACCGATGTGGTCCCCACTAGCCATGGATGCCATGTGGCTTCAAAAGGTCAAGGGTGGAGTGTGGGGCCTCTATGTGTCCTAGGAGGTGCATGGAGCTCATGGGGTCCTAGTACTTTGGTAGCCAATATTTCTAGGTGGTAGGTGGTTAGAAAATGTTTTGAAAAATCTTTTGGTGGTTAAACAATTCTTTTATGGTTAGGAACATAATCTTAGAGGGATCTAAATTTGATTGGAGCTTGTTATGGAATCCAATTGGAAGTGGAAGTTTCTTAGGAAGGTTCTATTGGACTCCACATAGAAATGGAAGAGTATTGGAGCTAGAAATCCTCCTAGGTATAGTGGTTCATTGTAAGCCCTTAATTCATGATGGTTGGACAAGAGATGGATGAGTAAGAGTATAAGACTAAACTTCTTGGGGGTGACTCTAGGCATATTCTGGTGTGCTGATTTTCCTTCAGGATTGGCTGTTTTTGGTGCACATGTTTAAGGATGTGGCAGCAACGTTTCCTAGGGCAAGATATACTTTTATTTTGTATTTTTATGTCTAACCTAATCTATCAAAATTTCAGGGCAAGCATGTGTAAGACCACAGAGATATAGGAGCGTAAATAAAGAGTGCTTGTTCATTTTTTGATGAAATTTTTTAAAAGTTGCACTGTGTCACTTGGTTACACCTCCCACATCTGGAACCTTTTAGTGCTCCAGGATTGCATGGATTCCTTGGGAATTGCTTTCCGAGTTGTCGCCATTGACAGAGGAGTTGGGTAGATGTCTATTGGTGGGGCTCCTTACCTTTAGGGAAGATTTTTTTTCCTTATTTTGAAACACGACAAGTTGTCCAGTTGCTTGGGCTATGGAGCCGGAGTACATGCTGTTTGGAAGTTTGGCAGAACTCGGCAGGATCATGTGGCTTAGATTACAGCAATTTGTCCATGCAAGGCCTTGTTGCACTTGTTCCGTGATGATCCTGGTCCAACTGGACTTTAAGGTTAGTACTCCTTCAAGAGTTAGCAATTTGTGAATTTCAATTAAGGTGGTCATTCATTATTTGCTAAGAGGACTCTGATTTGTGACTATATTCAAATCTTGTTAAACAATTGATGCCAAAGTACTAGCTGACCTCGAAGGCCCATATGTTCACCAGGATGGCTTCTTTGTCAGAATTGCTCTCTATTTCTTTTATGGAAGTGGTTAAGTAATTGTGGTGCAGTGTGTTCTTACATGGTCCATTTTAGTCGATCAATTGACGACGTTAGTGTTGTAGACCCTTCTTTTTCTTTTTGTTACTTTTGCTATTTGGTCTTTTTGATGATTGGCATTTTGTGGACAGTGCACATTTTCTGATCTTAGTCCTCCTAAGCATTTGTCATTGCACTATAAGTGTTGATTTAATGTTCACAATCTCAAAGTTCGCATATATGATGCATGGATACTTTAACGAGTGTTGTATCTATGTCAGACTTTAGATATTGTGCTTCTTTGCAGATCTTTTACATGCTAGCACATATCCTGAGTCCAGCCATGTGTACGTCAGCTATCATTGTACTATCAATATTATTATTACTTCTTTAATGACTTTCAGTTGGATACTTTTGTGCGAAATTTAACTTCATCTTTGCTGGTCCCAAGCCTGGATGAGAAAGGAGGAGGGTTGTGTTGGGTTGGCATCTAGTGTTACTTTTGCCACGTCTTTATCGTGAATCATGACTTTCGTGGAAAATTTTCAGTGGACATTATTATGAGATATTCTTTTATCCATGGATGAAATCCCTAGTTATCCTATTGGGGCTTGTTACATGTGCTCTAGATTTTTCCTTTGCTCCCTTACTCTAAAGACAGAAAAGAAAAATTCAGAAAAAAGGTAACTTAAAAACTTAGTTCAGGAGCTTGGATGCCTGAATTAGGGGCAGGTGTTTATCTTTACACCTATGTTTTACTCAGATATTTTTACTCCTTAAAATGTCTAGGTGTGGTACATGAAATATGGGCATTCAAAGTTTTAGCAGACAATATTTCCTCTCAAACAGAACTGCTTTGTTACGAGTTTTCTGGACATCAATTATGCTTTTGCCTTCTGATTCTGTCTTCTTGTTGCATGGCTCTATATCTGGAGTTCTATTCTATGGTTGCCTTTTTTAGTTGTTTGGGTTTTGAAAGGTCCACGCTTTACTTGGTGTGTATGCTTTTAAAATATGTCCGTGTATAAATTATTGTTTAGTGATTTTCCTCACACTTGAATGATTGGTGATGTCTTCTTTTTTTGTTAACAGGAATATTCAATTCTTTGGCCTGGAATCCCAACAAAAAGTCACAGAATCATTTGTTGTAGTAATTGGTCTAGGAGGAGTTGGGAGCCATGCTGCTGGCATGCTTTTGAGATCAGGAGTAGGCAGGCTCATGCTCGTTGATTTCGATCAGGTCTGCAACCATTCTTTTTATCAATTATTTTATCCGAACATGTAAAATGTAATGCTCACTGATTATGAGACCATCATAACTTGTTTGGAGTCCCAAAAAACTATGAAATCCTCGTTTCTTTGTGAGGTCTCTGCTGAACTAACATTCTGTAATGGTTACGCCATATTTTTGTTGAGAACTATTATAGATTATATCTTTGTGTTTATTGTGGATGGGACGGTTTGGAAATATTGTAAATTATGTCATTATGTGTGATGATAGTTGGGTTTAATTATCCCTATAATGTTGATGTAGCTTGTGCATTTTTATATCTGAAACATTCTCACAATTCAAATGCATTGGCATGCATTGGGCACATCATAGATATGGAGTGACCATGGTTGGAAACTATAAGAGCTTGTTGGACAATTTTAAATAAAAGAACCTCTCTTATGTCCTTTGCCATTGCATGCATACAACATGCCAGAAATTGATAATTTATCTTGCCGTAGTGGGCATCAGAAAATTCAATTCTAAAAATCCTTGCCTTTGATGGGTTTATTTGGATGCATGAATAGTTTCATGGTTTGTGCGAAGGCTGACCACTTAATCTTAGTGTCCAGCTGCATTTTAACTGTCCATCAAATGTCATGCCCACCTAACCCAGGTTTGAAAAAATCCTGGTTCCATCTTAGACAATGATATTTGGGCTGTGATTCTTGATGGAGGGTTAGGATGTAGCTGTACACAACGGTTTTCTGCAGGCCATGCACAGAAAACAGTGTCATTCTCTTATATCTCCAAATCAATGTTGGGTCGATTGCGTTTGCTATTGCAATGGGTTGTCTCATGCCTTGTGGTTGCGTTGGGTGACATAGTTTAGGTCTCTTTAAGCTTAATGAACATAAAATATAGTTGGAGCATGTCCTTGTGCTGCTACCTTAATGGAAAATGCCACACTTCCTACCCGAGGTGTTGATTTCACTTCTGATGCTTGCTATGCAGGGAAAGATTTTAAGTTCTTTTATGTGCAATCCTGGGCACTGATTAAATATGTATTTAAAATTGAACCATAAAATGTTATTTAATATTGATGTTGCCTTTAATTTTCATGATGATTTCATATCTTGCTATGGAATATATGCTATTATTTTGTCAGTGGTGCTATAAATAATAACATGATTATCATTGTACCTTTTTTGTTATATATATATATATATAAATCTGTTTGTGTGTGAGTGTGTGTCAGTGTATGTGTGCGTGTGCGCGCGCGTGTGTGTGAGTGTGTTGTGTGTTATGTGTTGTGTCTGTGAACTTTGTCAAAAGGCATCTGAAGTATCAACTATTGAACATTTCTGATGTAGGAGAATTTGAAGGAACAATAAAATTAGCAAGAAACAAAGCCAAACACAAGCATAATTCAAAGAAACCTAGGGTTTCTTCTCCATACCCCAAGCTAAGGTTCCAAAAGCCTAAGCTTTTCTTTTTCAATTTCTAAAAATTATGTGGAATTTCCCCCTCCATCAATTTCACTTATGAAAGCACACCTTAATTGTCAACTATTCTAACTCATGATTATGTGCCATTTGATGGGATTTTAGGGATCAAATAAAAAAATGGGTGAGACGTCAAATAGTTACACCTCTTGAATATTTGATAAATTTCCCTATGTATACACATTACTATTTTCCTTGCACATTTATTTGTTTATTTTCTCCCTGTGCATTTTGATCTTGAAATTTTGGAATTGTGCTTGTGCAATTGTGTTATGATTTATCAGTTGTTACTAATAAATAGATTTCGACTTACAACCTACTCCAACTTACATATATAGTTAATAGTCACCTTTGACTATTAAGAAAACTGGCAATATTTTCCTACAATGGATTGACTTGTGTGAGTTATGCACCTTTGACTATTAAGGAAACTGGCAGTATTTTCCGACAATGGATTGACTTGTGTGATTAATATTGCTTAGCCTTTTTTACTTTTCATGATTTAGATGCTAGTTTGGCATTATTACATTCCCTTTTTTGGGCAAATGATCTGTAATATTTATTGAGTGATAGTGCCATGGAGGTTTAATTAAATTTTAGGTAGTGCTTTAATACTTTATTCTCTCTTTGGAAATTTGAGGAGCACCATGATATTTTATGTAACACAGACAGTTAATTTTATGTCTCCAAAGGTATCTCTTTCATCACTGAACAGACATGCTGTTGCCACTAGAGATGATGTTGGAACACCAAAGGCGTTGTGTCTTCAAAAGCATTTTGCATCAATATTTCCTGAATGCAAAGTTGAGGCTAAAGTGCAATTATACGATGTCTCTACTGAGGAGGAAATCCTAGGTGGCCGGCCAGATTTTGTTCTGGATTGCATTGATAACATTGATACCAAGGTTAGTCATCAACCCTTGACTTTATTCTTTTATCTATGATTATGGACATCCCTTTCTTTATTGGAATATCACATATAACTGAATTTATTACCCCTTATGATTATGTTTTCGGATGTTATTTTCACTGGTTGGCATTTTACTATTTGATAGTGAATTTGAATAATTCTATTAGTGAGTATATATAATTATCAATAATGTGGCTAGGAAAAGATAGATGCATGCAATAATTTTACTCGGTTATCCATCAATACAATCAATGGGTGGTAAAAATGTGTTCAGCTCTGTGCCTGTGTGTATGTACCATGTGCATGGGTACCTACATATCTTTTTTGTGTTTTTTTTTCTTGAAATATGATTTGACTTACAATATGTCTGGGATGTCTACTGGTCGATGCTGGTGGCTTATGAATAAAATTGACATATTCTGTCATCTTATTCAGAGATGTGCTTGTATCTATTGGAACTTGTTATCCACTCTTTCTGTGACTAGAATGGATGTTGATGTGCTGATGATGTGGTGGACTTGTTTGCCTGAAGTTAATAATCAGAAAGTGAGGTTGCTAAGTAGTGGGTATTTATTTATAGCAGTATGGAGGAGTCTTCGAGGGCTCATCATGTAGAATATTCTCTTTTGGTGAGAGTTAAGGTGGTTAACATGGGAACTGGCAACTGGCTTGATTGGTTAAGGTGTTAACCGTCCAAATGGTATATCCCAGGTTCAAGTCCTTCCACTGGTCTACCCAAAGAAAAAGGTGGTTGATATATATCTGTCATGGCTGAACATGATCAAAGGTCTGCACTACCAAGATTAGGTCTCAAATGCCCATAACCTTCTCATTGTACTTTAAATATTTTAACTTTGATTTGATGTCTAAAAGAAACTTGGCTTATGGATTCAGTTGGGTTAACTGCAATGGTATGGAGATTATGAAGTTTTTATTGGGGTCCATTGGAGCTATAGATGACATAAGCAGGAACACAAGCCATCTTGGTTGAGATGTCTTTTATTTGGGGGTCCTTTCCATGCTAATTATCATCACGAGTGGCTTCCTAGATGCCATACACTGGCTTGGAAGAGATATTATTGTTGGAGACTCACTTTTCGAAGAAACTCCAGGCATTTTCTTGTTGGTTTTGATTGATATTCTTTACCAACCTATGGAGACTAACTCTATGGAAAATAGGCTAAGATTGGTATAATTGGGTGTGCTGCGAAGAAGCTCTTATATGGCACAATGAATTAGCTGTGCTAGAATATCACTCTCTGGAGATCATCCATTACGGACGTATGATTGGCTCTAACATTCTAAAATATTCATTCCTTAAGATAGGTGAGTTTCCTTATAGGATATGTCATCCAGTTAGATTATGACATACTTTCTCGATGTCACATTTTTAGTGCAATTCACCGATTTCCAGTGGAACTGTGGCCTTGTGTATTATTGTCCAATCTTTTGTTCATGCTTAGATCTGACATTATGGGGTCCATGAACTTTTGTTGCAGTTGAGTTCTTTATTTTTCAGAATAAAAACAGCTGAATCTGTTGTTCATCAGGTGGCGCTGCTTGGTGCATGTGTTCGAAGGAATCTAAAGGTCATTTCTGCAACAGGGGCAGGTGCTCGAGCAGATCCAACTCGAATTCGGATTGCTGATTTGAGTCAATCATCTGTGGATCCATTATCACGTGCAGTAAGTACTAACCATAATTGACCTGGGTTTCTTCAGTTCTCATTTGACACACTGATTAAAGGGGAGGTATTGCATACACATTCTATGTATGTTTTATCATACTTCGATTGTTATTAATCGTCCATCTGCAGCGGCTGATGATAGAGATGAAATTTAGTTCTGATGATGGATAGTCACTTGGAGCAACAGTTCATTTCCGTCATCCATCTTGAGAGGTGAAGGTGGATGCCCGTCCTGTGTATGGTGTACCCTGTGAAATTTGAAGGACATCCCTAGTGATATCTTACACTTGGAAGCTTCATGTTGTTAAATCAATATTGGAGATCCTGTTTGGAATGGTTTCCACTCAAATTCTAAAAGTCAAACTTTGGTTATTTGATTTGGTTGATATCTCTCACATTAGTTTCAAGACTTTTTCCAAAATGGATTTCACATGAACATTTATGTCCAATATGCCTGAAAAAAATGGACTTGCTGAATGTGCACATCGGTTATGCCTATGCTTTTTTCTCCATGATCTATTTTTATGGTTGTTTATCTATTTACCTTATCTATTTACCACCTGCCACTATCAACAGCTAATGGTGATCTCCCATTGACATATTATTTGTTTATTACAGTACTATGCATGCCTAAAGCATGACTATCTTTGCTTTTTTCTTCTTCCTCATCATTCCATAATGAACTAATGTCTAGATTATCAAAGCCTGTGCCTGTGTTCCTTGTATTCTACCTCTCTGAAAGGTATGGATCTCTAACGATCCATCATCCTTCAACTGTGTCATCTAGAAATTAACATTTATATATCCTATTTTACAAAGGCACATTTGCTTTCTCTACCTATTATACTTTTCCAATCAATTAATTATGTGAACTTTTCTTCTCGTGCCTGAAATAAACTCTTGTGTCTCCTTTGTTCCATTACTTCTCAATTGCATTTACAACACTTATGATGCAATACAAAGGCCTTCTGAAGTACCTTCTTTCTTGGCAAGCTTGTTTGTTGATACACCTGGATTTCCTTTAAGTAAGGTAGACCCTCAAATTTTCTTTTTCAAGAAAATTTCGTTTCTTGATGATATTAATTTTTGGGTGGAATACTTGGTGTTGATGCTCCAGAAAATAACATTGTTTTGGCTTATCCTTGCTGATTCCTAACAAAAACAATCATCTTTTATCTTCTCGGGTTTTTTCTTCTACAACTTCCTAGGTATCTCCAGCAAGTTGGTTTTTTTCTTCTACAACTTCCTAGGTATCTCCAGAAAAGGCTGAATCCCATGCATAATAGCAAGTTGCATCCTAAGGACGATCGGCAACAATTTCCTATCGTGAACGTAATTCCTTTCATCAGAAATGCTTGCAAGATTTGGCTGCATCTTTTTTGGTATGGAGGCTTTTGGATGCCATTGGGTCGACTAGATAAAAGCTGATCACATGTGGCTTGCTTTGGGACTTGTTTTATTACTCAGAGTTGTTCACAACACCCTGAATATATGGGTGCAAATAGGAATGGTCAACCCGATCCGTATCCATATATGGATGTGGTGGGTTAGGTCTGGGTCCAACAGACCTGGACCCAACCAAGTTTACTGGTTGCCCACAATACTGCTAGAGAGCCAGGGCTTGGTTTTGCCGCCCCTTTTCTGCAATAAAGCCCGGCTGGGGTCTGAAATGAATTTTTGGGGCTAGGCCCAGCTTGGACCGAATGCCTAGTTTAAGGCCTGAGCCCCATCTCAGCGGGCTTTGTATCTTTGCCTGGAAACTCATTTCGAAGATAAACTTAGACACCACTTTACAACTCCGTTCTTTCTTTACCTCTTTCACTCTAGCCGTGTGGTACAAAAGAGAAGAGATGGAGTGAGGAAGCGCCATGCTTTGAGAGATGGAGTCACCAAATCCAATTAAAAGGGTGAAAAAGGATTTTAGAGAGATAAGAAGAGTAAAATCCCAAATGAAAAAAAAAGACTAGTTTTTGGAGAGGAAGAGAAAGATATGGAGACTGGGGGATGGAGAGAGAGAGTATTAGAAAAGACAGATCATACCAGCCCGAATTGAATGATTGACGGGAAAAGGACCAAGAGAGAGAACAAACACAATTTGAGAGGGAAGGAGTGAGAGAGAGAAAACAAATTCCAATATGAAAGAGAGAGGATGAAAATTAAGATTTCACTTTGATTGGGTAGACAAAAGAATTCATCAGATCAGACCAAACCAACAGCAGTACCTCTTACTGCTCTACTTCTCTCAGTACCTCTTACTGCTCTACTTCTCTTTCACTTTGTAACGCTCCTGAGACTGGTCACAGAGCCAAGCTCCAAGGCTACCTCCCAAGACAATTATAAAAGAAAAAACACAAAAAAGATAGAGAGATTTTGGAAGAAAACAAAGTAGAGAGAAAAAATGGGAGGAGAAACAAAAGAGAGAGTGTGAAGAACAAGAAACAAGAGAGAGAAAGTACAATGTTTGATGGCTCACTTGTGAGCTTTTTTGGATAAGCTTTGCCCTCTTCTTTGATCTCTGATGATGCTTACTCCCCTTCATTGCCATAAATTCTTCTTCTCTGTACTAGAGAAGTTGATTAAACCATTTCTCCATCCTTTTCAACTCCTGCTCCTTAATTCTTGTTTTCACCTTTTGTCTCACTTAAATTTCCTGAAATTTTGTGGAGAAAGAGAAGGGCACTAATTTGTTTATGTTATAGTTAATTTGTTGTGCAGCTTGTGCCAAACAACTACATGATGTTCATAGTGGTAGAGCTTGCTGCCCTTTATTGGAGATCAGGAGAAGAACTCAAGTTCAAATTCGATGGAGTGCATTTCATTATGTTTTGGAAGGACCATAATATATAAATAATATGTAGTGAATAGACTAAAATATTCAACTATGGTTTATAGATTTACAATATAATTATTATCTCAAAAGAAAAAATCTATAATAAATATATGAAAATGATTATAGTTTATGGACTATAACAGTATTAGTCCAAAAACTATAGTCCATAGACTATATAATATATAGTCTACATCTATAAACTATTTAATTTCAGGTTGGTTTTGAGACTAAAACAGACCTCTACTGCCCAGCCCAGTCCCAGCATGCGAGCCTTAAGTTCAGACTTGAAAACCCTGCCCTTTGGTAGCCCTATGGAGAGTCATAATCGTATGTGAAAAGTCCATAGGCTAGAAACCTAGTTCTCTTTGTTGGATGTTATTCAAGTGTGAATCTCTACTTTTAAAATCTAAAATTTAATCTCTACAATGTGTCCCCTGTCCCACCCTTCTAATTCAGTTTCAAATGCTCCTCCATATTGGACAATGGGGATTCTTTGATTGATTGTCCCTCAATCTGATCCATCATAGCTAATTAGCTATGGAATAATCTTACCCGTCTAAATTTGGTTGTAACAAAATGGCTCTCCATAGTGGAAAACAGGGATTCTTTAGATCAAATTTCCACCAATCTGATCCCTCATAGCCGTGGAAATAATCACAATGGCATGGTTTTTGGCAGTCAAGAAATTGTTCTACTTCATCCTATCATGTCTGTTGGCACCATGGAGCATTGGTTTGTGCATAATTGGTGATTTGGAGTAATATTCTGTTTTGCTTGTATTGTGACTATAGAGCTCATTTTCTTGTGTCTTTGTTGGTCACATTTTTGAAAAGTAATTGTTGGACAGGTCAGACATCGTCTAAGGAGGGACTATGGGATTGAAGGTGGAATTACTGTTGTCTTCTCTCTGGAGAAGCCCAAGGCAAAGCTGCTCCCCTTTAAAGGATTAAGTGGAGATGAAGAGAATCCTTCCGATTATCAGGTAAAGGGGATTATAAATTTTTTCTCCATAATGAGATGCATGACTTTTGTTGCCTACAGCTTTGAATTTTCTACATAGCATCAGACGAATTTTTATTATTAAATATTGTTCAGAAAACATTATTGACCGTGCTTGTTCATTATAGAATTGTTTCACATGGGATATTTCTTAATAATTATTTCTTTAAGCTATCCTTGTCCTACTCTGTGATATCTACTCACTGTGATTAAATTGTATTATTAGATTGTACCAGGCTTCAGAGTTCGCATTATACCAGTTATGGGAACTGTTCCAGCTATATTTGGCCAAGTGATGGCATCCCATGTTCTGACACAGCTGGCTGGGTTAAGCGTTCACACTGAGCCGGTGGTGAATTTGGATGTGGACCACTATCGAGCTCTTCATCAACGCCTAGTCGAGCACGAGGAAACGTTGTATGGCACTGCGATGCATGTTCAGGTATGTATCATACTGGAGTAACATGCTAAATGGCTGGTTCATAATTATTCAGTGATGTTGCTTTCTCGTTAACCAATTGGTTGCTATGACTTTGTAATACTTTTCTGAGATTAAGTTGGTTCTATATTTTGAAATTAGTGTCAGATCTTGATTCTGTTTGCTTGGGAAAGAGAAGAACTTTAGTGCTCGAGGGTATTTAGGGGAGAATTTGGAATATTTTTTTCCAACTAAAATATGAAAATAGGAGAAAACAAGCGAATGGCATGTGCATTGCACAAAGTCTTATACACAGCTTTTGTCCTTTTTTATTTTTAAACTATGAAGCATTTTGTTTTTCATTTTATTTTTATCTAATATATACCAGGATGAAGCAATTGGATTTTGTTAGCTGTTATTGAAAATTTTCATCTTTGTAACGACTAATAAATGGCAAATTTCTTAATATTAAAATGCTAATGTTCATTATTTTTGGAATATTAATGCTATTTTAAAACAAGAGCTTTGAATATTAGGAAAGATATGAGATGGAGTTCTACTATATCTTATTTTTCATAATTTTAATTGTGATTTTCGTTTTTATTGTATTTTTTCATTTTATTTATACCATGGTATAACAAAGTAACAAACTGGATTTTTCAACTGTTCTTACAATATTTCCTATTCACAGCATCTATTTAAGACAATTTTTAATATTCTAGTCTGTAAATTTTATTATTTTAAATAAGAGATTTAAAATATTGGGAAATAGATGAGATGGGATCTAGGAACTGATTTGACTTTGAGACGGGGATAGATTTAATGAATGTACTTTGAGATAGAGAATGAGAATGGAATATGGGGAAAGAGGTGATCTAGGAACTCTAAAATTGCTCATTCTCTTAGAGAGAGATTTTTAGGAGATTTGGAGGGAAAAAGGAGTCATGGAGATGAATTCAAAATTCACACTCCTATTTATTCTCCCTCAGAAATATAGATTGAAAATAAATTTTTTAAGAATAAAAAACATTTTAAGTACAATCATCTATAAATACAAATTAATCGATTAAAAGACCATTCCTCAATCATTTTTCCATTGATGTACTTTATGTTATAAGTGATAATCACAACCATTTGCAATCTAACTCATAACATCAAAATAAAATTAATGTGAAGGGTTTCAGGCTGGAATATCAAAAGTCAAATTCTAACAAGAAGCTATGATTTGTAAGTTTGAGAATTATCCGTAGTGATATGTGATGATCGGAGGGTCTAAGGCCAAACTAAGCTCAAGACTAACCATAGGCACAATAAAACCTGTGACTTAAATGGTTCAACATGAAAGGTGCACATCAAAATGTTATTCTTAATTTGCACAAAAAGTAGGGTTTGCCTCTATAAGGTACCTAGAGGCTAAAATTAGCTAAGGGAGAGTTCTTTGTTCCTGAAAACTCTAGCTACATTGGCAAACCAAGAAAAAAAATAGAACGAGTTTTTGTTAGCTGTAAGAGCATTATAGGCCTTTAGTAGTTCACGGAGACATTGACACGTTTCAGTGTCGTGTCTGATGCATTCTTCTGGTGCCAAAAATTCAATCACGAAAGCTAACATGGTGAACACATCAATACAAATAGTTGAATGTGTAATATATGAAAGATTATGAAATAGAAATATAGAAATAGAAATAAAAAAGTCATGCATCATCTTTTACCCATTTGTTTTTTCTCAAGGGAAAAGGACTAGGCTCTTCCACTTTGGGAGAAGGTTAAGCCTTCCTCTTATTTCTATGGTGAAGGGTTATCAAGTCCCACCCCACTTTTTTCTCTGGGAATGATTTAGGTAAAATTGTCTTCTCCTTTTCTCTTTCCATGGCAAGCTAAATCAGTAGCATGACTTTAAATTGGGGTTTGATATCCTCAAGATTTAGAACTTTTAGTATTGAGTCTGGTTCCTTATTATATGGTGAGATCTGCAAGCAATAGCCTAGGAAATCACTTTTTTTTTTTCTTATAATCTTGCACCATTTTTTTTTTTATTCTTCCTCCATTCAAAGTTCAAATTCTAAAATAGGTCAGGAGTCTTTTACACTTCAGTTAAACATCCCAACACAGCTGAAAATATATGGACTAAGTATTGACATGTTCGACATGAACCCACCAAAAGAAAACAGGGGTATCACTGTAACACTCGCCTTTAGGCTATTTGGTACGAACAACTTGAATGGAACCAAACAGTTTTTCTTCATTTTGTCTAAGCAGTTGAATCTGAATTATTCACCCGTCTTGGGATGCAGGAAGAGGATTCACAAGAGGGACACCACAAAACAAGTTCAAGATCCATTACCAACTAATTTTAGAAAAGGATTTCGGCAAGGACATAACAGGCTGTGCAAAGCATGATGTTAAATATAATCATAGTGAAATTTCAAGAGCGTAGTAGGAAAAAAAAAAGCTCTTGGTGAGAGGGAATCGATGTGAGAAAGAAAGATGGATAAGATAGAAAAATGGGTAAGTTTGAATATTGATCATATAGAATAAGATTGAACAGGAATAATAATAATCATGGAAAATTTCTATTGTGCAAGTGTTTCATACTCGAATGTAAAATTTGAGAGTAGATTTTAGTCTATAGCACACATCTAATTATCTTGTCTTTCTTCATTTTATAACATTAAGTGAAATTCATCAACTGCCCAATTTCATTGGTGGATGACTAGGGTGTATCCTTCTTCCTCATAATGTCCATTATTATTTTTTAATTGGCCTTGAGAAAAGAAATGTTGCGCCCCAGCTATCCCTTGTTCACATTGGGGGGCTGAGATGAAGTGAAGCTTCACACAAAACTTCATTGCGCTCATTGAATATATTTCCATAGCAAAATGCTATTAAATAGAAGATGTTAGGTGTAAAATTTTTGTTTCTAGTGGATGCCTAGTATTTGACTATAGAGTCCTGCTTTTGGCTCAGTTTGATTGTGAATTCTCATTTTCCATTGCATTCTCAAAGGTAGATGTGGATGAAGTTGTTTATATTGTAAAAGAATTGTGGCACGGGCGGAGTGCAAGAGATCAATTAGCGAGAGATGTAGGACGAGGAATGTGGAGGTCTGTTAATGAACTAATTCTTGTCAGGTAATGAGATGGATTTATCATTGCTAATTTTTATAGTAAGAAAATGCTTTTATTAATTGTACGGATTGCTTTTATTTATCGCATAAAAATTAGGAAAATTTATCAAATACCCATGATAGATGAACTATTTAACATTCTACCCGTTTGCAGGTACTCCAACTCAAGATCATGTGTTCTTTTATTGGTATTTACAAATATACATGCCAAATGATTCAATCTACAACCAATTTGAATGATGTGACACTCATAGTCATCTCGACTATCTCCGTAGCGATTTAGGAATGAGTATAACGATTGGGTAACTTTTGTAGCCCCTCCCAATCCAACCAGCTCTGATGCCCACTCTCATCACAGCTTGTACTCGTTCTCAGGGTCCTTGTGTCACCAACTTTTGATTAAGTGGCCTCATTATCTTCATCATCTCCATCTTCCCCTTGCACCTCATCAAATTAAGAATTCATTAGTGAACCAGAAAATGTTAATCCTCTTCCAAGAAGAAATGAACAAGAAACTTGTGATGAAACGTTGAAGAGGTTGTAGAACCGAGGATTAAGAGAGCGAAGAGAAATATATCGTATAATTACACTTGATTGTTATATCAACCTAGTGGTGGCTAACCAAAATAAAGTTAAAGTGTTGATTGAAACACTCATGGCTTCAAATATGGAGGAAGAACCTTTTTCATTAAGTGAAGCATTAGTATATGATGCTGTATTTTGGAGAGAGGCCATAAATAGTGAGATGGACTCTATTCTTGCTAGTAAGATGTGGAAGTTGGTAGACTTGACACCCTTTTTAAAACCCATTGACTATAAATAGATTTTCAAAAGGAAAAACGGAATGCCGATGGGTTTATTAACAAGTATAAGGCCACATTAGTTGCCAAAGGTTTTAAACAAAAGGAAGGCATATAGCCATAGATTGTTTTGACATATATACTCCTGTTGTAATAATATCTACCATATATGTGCTACTCTTACCTCAATTAACTATCTAATTATTCACCAAATGGATGTGAAAACCACATTTTTAAATGGTGAATTAAAAGAAGAAATTTATATGGAACAACCCAAGGGGTTTGTTATACCAGGCCAACAACACAGTGTGTAAATTGGTCAAATCTTTGTATGGGCTGAAACAGGTTCTAAAACAATGGCATGTGAAATTTGATAGTATAGTATTATCGAATGGTTTCAAGAGAAATGAGGTAGACAAGTGTGTGTATAGTAAGGGAATTAATTCAATGTGTGCTGTAATATGTTTGTAATTGCTCACTTTTGGCCCTGACTTAGAAATTAGGGAGGAAACTAAAGGGTTCCGCGGAGCTAACTGTGATAAGAAGGATCTAGGATAGGTCATGTGATACTTGGTAAAAGGTAGTGAGAAAGGATGATGCATTAGTTTTAAATTTTAACCCAATCCTACCATATCAAAAAGATGCTCAATAAATTTGAGAGTGTTTTGATTGTAAGCTTTCACTCAAACTGATTGACATAAAGCTAATGAAAAATGAAGGGACATGTATTTCTCAAATTGAGTATGCAAGAGTAATTGGTAGTTTGATGTATGCAACAAGATGCATACGGGCTTGATATTGCATATGCAGTGGGTAAACTTAGTATATTCACTAGTTGCTCAAGTAGATAGCTTTGGGATGCAATCTCTTGAGTTTTGAGACATCTCAAAGGAACTATCAATTTTGGCATATATTATTCTAGTTGTCTCACAGTGTTGGAAGGATATAGTAATGGGAGTTGGAGCATGGAACTCAAAGATTCACTATCCACATTTGGATGGGTATTCACCTTGGGAGTTGAAGTGGTATCATGGGGCTCATAGAAGCAAACATGCATTTCTTGATCTACTTTGGAGTCGAAGTTCATCGCATTAGATTCTGCTTGTGGAGAAACTTGCTTAATGGTATTTCTTATTGCCTAAACCGATACAGGTGATCACAATTACTTGTGATAACTGTGCCACAGTTGCCTAAGCAAATAACTATGTTTATAAAGGCAAATCTAGACAAATTGCACACAGACATGGTTATGTCCAAATGTTGATAAAAGATAGAGTGCTAAGTATAGAATTTGTGAGATCAAAGGAGAATTTGGCTGATCCTTTGACTGAAAGCCTTATGAGGGAAGACATCAATGGGATAGAATGGGACTAAAATCCATAAAGTAACCATCAAAGGTGGGAACTCAATCTAGTCTTTTGTTACCTTAAGAGATCGATATACAATATGGTAATAACAAGCCGTTTGTGTGGTTAGTAGATCATTAGACACGATTAAGTGATTTGTAAGTACCCATTCTAGGGAGATTCATGCTGTAGATAAGTCTAGTGATGCATGTGTGAGACGAAGTTGAGCATTGCTCTTAATGATGTGTATAACTGGTATTTGTTGGGGCATTTAATATACAGGGGGAACCCTTGATAGACTCACCTATAGGATGGTGGAAGTGAGGCTGCTTCTTATGAGATTGGACTCATTCCTAGAGCGCTCTTGGAATTGGGATATAAGCTCAAGCCCTATAACGAGTTGGTAGTATATAGACACAAGACTGTTTATGTCCTTTGTTATGCTACCGGTATGTTGGATATAAGCTACCATGGAGTTTGATGTACTTTCTAGTGTATTCACTAAGTGGATGTTCAAATCGAAAGATACCTTTGTGGTATGTGAATGACATATGCAATATTCGAAAAAATGTCGGCAGTGCTTGGGCGGCCGGGGGGTCCTAGCCCGAGCGCCTAGGCTGCTGCCCAGATTTCTGGGCGTCCTAGGTGGAAGAATAGGGGTGGGAGTTGTCTGAAAAAACTGTTTTAAGTCCAAATTCTTTGTAAAAATGCATACTGAGGCATTCTTAATACATTTTTTTATGTTCAATCCATCCAAATTCCTAAGACAAACCAAAGTATTGGAGATTTGGACAATTAGTTAATAACACATTAGGAAATATAGGATAATATAATCCAACATTCAAATTCAGTACTACACTACTAGTAGACTAGACTACTAGTTAGTAAGTACTAACACAACCACAAGGACAATATAATAATCATATAGTCACAAACTCACATGTCACAATTCACAAATCATCAATTATAAACCAATTAATCCATACTCCATAGTCCAATGCTCAACCCAAACACCATAGAGCATACTTCTTATTAACCCGTACTCATAATGACATAACACATATCCATAATAGATACACTCCATACCATTACCATGATTACCATCCCAATCTATAGTACATACTCTATACATTAGAGGGGGGGGAAAAAATGTTTGGATCAAAATTTCAAAACTTAGACTTAACCAGTCAATGTAAAAGGAAAGAAAAAATGGGTTTTTTTTACTCTAATATGTAAAAAAAAGGGTTTAGGACACAAAAACCCTAACCCCCCCCCCTGTTTAGAGTGCAAAAAATGCCCGCTCAATGCTAGAGAGACGTATTGCATCTCATCAAAACTCCTCCAGTATATGTGGAGAGGCATATATGGGCCATGAGAGTATATGTATCCCAGAGTTTCGGCTCAAGTTGAAACGTCTTCATAGTCTCTTATCATAGATCGTTAGTTACGATGCAAATGTGTGACTGACGATGGATTATATATATATATATATATATAATGGTGCACCACGGTGGAGGGCATGGGCACATCACTGTGTGCGTGCATTGGGTGCCTGGGGACCTAGTGCCCAGGAAGGCTGCCTAGGCCTGGACGATGCACCCAGGCCCCCCTAGCCCACCTAGGTGCTAGGCGGGCCCTTTTTGAAACACTGGACATGTGTGGCCTAATGTTTTCATATTGTTTTGAATGAGTGACGGAAACTGTTGTATTTTGCTTTAGAAAATACCGTGCTACTTCAAAATAATATCTTTTTTTTACTATAGTAGTCTGAAAAGTGTGTTTTGTCTTATTTCTAGATAGAGAAGTTATGGGTTATTTATCCCACATTAGAGAATGTGATAAAAAAAGTCATGCTTAAATATGCCTCTTATCTTCTACACTTGTGTTCTAAGAAACAAAGGGAGAGAAGGCCTATATAGAGCACGAGAATCGGCGAATACGCATGCGCATGTGCACGTGACTGTGTAAAGGAGCTTGATATTGCACTTTGCACTTTGCACATTCGCATTGATGCAAGAGGAGTCCCTAGCTCGCGCATGTGTGTGGGTTGGGCTCATGGTTCGTAGAACGTTTGCTGCTATAGGTGGAGCCTTCAGTGGTTTTAGCAGCATTCCTGTGATTTGGCTTTGATACTTGGCAATCCTCTAGAGAAGGCATGTTATTCTACCAGTTATAAAGTTTGTTGCTATAGGTGAAGCCTTCAGTGGTTCTAGCAGCATTCCTATTATTTGGCTTTGGTACTTGACATTCCACTAGAGAAGACATGTTGTTCTACCAATGTGCTTTTCCTGCGACTGGTAGAACATGTAGTTGATATCGGGGTGATGTATTGAGCGGGATGGTTAGGTTTATGGAACCCGAAGAGGCCATGTCACTGTTGGCTATCCTGTTACATGTTAGTTGCAACAAATGTATCGTTTTGATGGTTGAGATTTGAAGAGTCAGAACACTTCGCTTAACAAGTACTTGAATAGTCACATGGAGTGGTTGGAAAGGCACTTTTTCTCTATAAATAGGGATTTGTTTTCCTCCTTTAAAGAAGAAGCATTCTACCATTTTACGAATTTTCTTTCTAGAAAAAAAGGCTGTTCCGGTGTTCTAGAATCTCAGTACTTGTGTTTTTATATTGACAAGATAATTTTTTACAATCCTCTACTTTCTTGTATCCCAAGGCCATATTTGCTGGGCAAACTTATATGCATACTGATTTATATTAGTAAGGGGCAAATATTGTTTTATATACTGAACTTTTCGTACTTGAAAACTGGGGGATTGAAGTATCTACTTTACACAAGTTACTTTTATTTGCCTCGTTTCACCCACCAGTTCCAGCATTTCAAATGTTTGATTTGATGGGCTTCCAGATCTTTGCTTAAAACCTTAGAGACGCCATTATTGACCTCATCGTTCGGCTCATAAATGGTTTCTCCTTTTGCTTTATCACAGCATTATTTATAATTACAAGTAGTTGCATTCAAATAACTTATCTATCCCTGGTCTTTGATTCTACTATGCAAGGTTTTTAACACAAATGCAGACCTAAAGCTTTAATTGTGTTAGTGAATGGTTAATGGTGACTCCCTGTGCGACATATATTTCCTTAATCTTGATTACCGTAGGCACCTCTATTCTTTTCCTTCTTGTGGAGTGAATAATAGTTGTTCCTTTTGTATTCTTCATCTAATCTTCGTTGTAGCATTTCAAGGCACCCTCTTCGAGAAACTTGAGTGTTTTTATCTATGAAAATATACCACTGTATTATGTTTAAGTTGCATATAACAGAGGCAGTCGTATAATTATGCTAGTCTTTCCTGTTTATTGGTCACATGCAGATAGAAGCTATTATTGTTTATAGAGGATAGACCATCTCTCATTTAGTTTGAATTATCCAGGTGGGATCAGTCAAAGCCTGCATCTGTGTTAAACTTGTTTCTTTTGAAATTCCAAGAGGTAAATTTTCTTCTTCTCTTGCCTGTAAGAAGTGATTCATTTCATACTCCTAGGGGTGCATGTAATAGCAACTTCCATATCTGTTGTATCGGCATAGCTGACACCTATATCTTATTTGTCTTGGGAAGCATTTGTCCATCACGTTCTACTTTGAAAACCACACTTGTATGCATGGGTACAAGGGTATGCATCTTTAGTTTCTCTCTCACACTTTTTTTTTTTTGTTTTTTTGCATGGTTACAAACATACACACTCACACACAGGGTAAAACAAGAAATCAATTGGGCTCATTGTTTCAAAAAGGGCTAGGCGGCACCCAGGCAGCCGTGGGGGTCTAGGCCGCCCAATGCCTAGGCATGCGCCCAGAACTTGGGCGGCCCAGTTGAAAAAAAGAAGAAGATAGAAGTTGAAAAGAGATTACCATAATCCATATTTTCATACAATGCTAAAACATTAAAACCTTACAAGCATACATTGATAGTCTGATACACAAAAGTTCGATGGTAGAAACTAACAATGAGAAAAAAAATATACAAAAATTCAAAAAAAATATACAATCTAGGACACAACAGTCAACACACAACATCAAGAGTCAAGCACTCAATCGTCTTCAACTCTTCATTCTTCAGTCATCATCATCATCATCATCATCATTAGAAGGAATAGGGTAAGCCTCATCATACGCATCAGATTTGAGGCCATCAGCATTAGAGTTATCTCCCTCTTTAATATAACGCTCGTCCTCATCTGTTTCTTCTGAATCTGCATCTTCCTCCTCCTCTTTTTTTACCTCCCTCTTATTATGTGCAGATGAGGCCCTAAGAGTCTTGGCTGCTCTACCCTTTTCTCTCTTTTTGTGTTTCTTTGAACTCAAATGTTGTATAATCTCCTCTTAGTAGCCTCAATAACATTTTTACACGTGGCAACATCCCCTTTTAATACTGTCAATGTGTTTTTTGAACCAATAAATTCTCCAATTAGTATCCTTTCCACAATAATTACATTTAATACAATTTTTGTCATTCGAATTCGGGCTATAACCATACTTCCAACCCGGATTACTACTTCTAGAAGAATTTGGAGAAGATATTTCCATAGAATAATGTTCATTTTTATCCTTTTCTGGTTCTTCTAAATTTAGAAATTGTCTAATCCCGAATAGCTTCAGGAACTTTTTTACAACAAGCAACATTCCCTTTAATACATGCAATATGTTTCTTGAATCGGTTGATACCCCCATCGGTATCTTTTTCACAAAAATTACACTTTATACAATTTTTATCGTTTGGCTTCGAGTTCTGACCATATTTCCAATCGGGATCATTTCTTAGAAGAACAAAAAATAGATTTATTCAAATGACAAGGATTTTGTTCCTGTTTTTGTTTTACAGAACTCATATATTGCTTAATCTTTTCTCTGATACCTTCAGGAACGTTTTTACAAGGGGCAACATCCCCCTTAATACCGGCAAGATGTTTTTTAAACTTGTTTATGCCCCTTTTTGTATAATTTTCACAATAATTGTATCTAATGCAATTTTTGGATTCGGGTTATATCCATATTTTCAACCCAGATCTCCACTCGATTAGATCCTAAAGAAGATATCTTAAAATAAAACAAGCAATCTAAAAAATAAAGTTTTCCACTTAGTATTACGCGAACTCCAAACTCCCATTTCTGAGATGTTTTCTGGTGTTGACATATTAAAAAATACCCTCTAATAGGATTAAAAAACTACAAACTCCAAACTCCAAACTCCCACCTCTGAAATGTTTTTTCAAAAACACGGTCTAATAGGATTAAAAAACTCCAAAACTAAATATTAAATCTTATCTACCTGGGTGATGCCTGGATCCATTTTCGTAACTTTGGGAAACATTATGATCCAATGAAAATAAAAAAATCTAGTTTGTTTGAAGGTTTTTTTTTTGTTCTCTAAATTTAGTTTGGTGGAGGTTTCTTTTTCTCTATGGGTTCATGTCATTTTAAGTTTAAAATGAACGTAAAACACATCCTTAAAAGCTTTTATATTTTAAAAAAAACTCTAGAATAAAAAAAAACTCATTTCGGGCGGGGCGCAGACATCAGGGACTGAGGACAAACTTTGGTCCCTTAAGCTTGGGCGATCCTTGAGGCCCAACTTTGGTCCCCTAAGCTTGGGCGATGGGCATAGGCCTTCTTGACCGCCTAGGCGCTGGGCAGTCTGCTCTTAAAAGAGTGATGTTTGGGCTGGAGTTGAATGTTTAGCTGAGGAAAAGGCTTATTAGGGTAGCTGACATCTCTCTTGAAATGAAAATAGTTGGGAAGACAATTTCACGTGTGGATCAGGAAATCTTGTTGAATCATGAGAACTAAAAATATCTAGTTCATGCTTATCGTTATTGAGGAATGTGTTGCAATTGTTCTGTGCTGTTCCTCATAGAGAACACCTGGTCTGTATAGGCAGAAGAGCATGAATCGACGACCCTTGATCAAATAAGAGAGAAGGAGCCCGATTTTTACTCAATGGTAACTCATGTCCTTGAGCGAGCTGCTTTGGACTTTGGCCTCTAGTTCTTATCAGGCACGCAGCAGCATATATAATTATCAGTTATTTCTCTCTCCCCCCTTTGCTCTTAGCATGTCATTAGGAATTTTCAATGCGAGAATCATGGAAACTAAATATTATATAATGTAGTGGGGAAACATTTTTTTTATTTTCCCTCATAATTATCGATTTCAATTTCAAATTTCAAAGGATAATATTTAAAGCTAAAAGACAGTATGCACCTTTGGGAGTATGCTGTCCATTTATTCTCTCGGGTAAACCCCCACCTAGGATTAACTTTAGCATCCCAAATTTTGGCTCATATATTAATGTAAAAAAAAATCCTAATTGTACCCTTTAAGCACTTGAAAAAAATAATGTCTTAAAATTGAATAGAAACTGTAACTTTTAAATGGTGAGATTTGTGTTAGCAAATGCCAATTTCAAATATTTTATTTGAAAAATAATCATTTAATGATTCTTAGGTGGTTCTCAAATTTCAAATTGAAAAAGATCCTCCTAAATAGGTTATTTTACCGAGGGAGTAGAAGTAAACTTTGCTCGTTAAGGAATTATGCCATATTTGTTTTCCTTAAAGGAAAAATTATGTAAAACTTCACCAATGACTAGAATTATGGTTTGGTCCATGATATTTGATATTTCACGTGAAGGTCTCGTGTTTTTCTTTATGCCGGTTTTGCACCGGTCCACAGTCCGATGTGGAAAACATTTGACTAATTTTTTATTTTATACTTCCTTTTGGTTGTTTTCAAGGTATTATGATGTCACAAATATGAGATCAACTTATTTATGGGTGGTCAAATATTAGAAATATTGGACAGCCTTGTCATCGCAGATGGTGGTTTTGAATGAAGCGGTCCAATATCTTAAACATCGGACTTTTTTTAACTATATAAAAAAGGGAAAAAGTATGTATAAGATGTTAACCTTATGAATAATCTAAAAAACTACTAGGAAAGGTTGCTCTTTGGCTAGAAAACTCTCAAATCGGTCATCTCGATCTTGAGATTCACCTGCATGGAATAAGGGGATTTCTTGTCTTAAAAATAGTTTATCTTCTAACACATTATCTGGATCGTCCATTTTTTTAATTTTCAAGTGTTTATAAATTTGATTGATCGAAACTATATTTTCGGCATGGTTTTGAAGTTACCTTACTTCAATAGTATAAGGTCGACACTTTATACAAACCTCACCCATAAAAAAAAAGGCCATCCAACCATTGTTGGAAAAACCTTGCGATCTAACCGGTAACCGTCTGGTTAGATCGGAACTAGCTAGTTCTGGTTTCAGGCTGTTTTGGTGATTGACCGATATTTAAAAAAAACAATTCAAAAAAATGTGTATAAAATCTCAAAAATAAGGAGTTTAGTTTGTAATACATTTTTTAATATTCTTTACATTATGGTAAATATTAGAAATTGTTTTGGTAATTAATATTGACTTTTATATTTTTCCCATGTTTTTTTTTAGAAAATTTAAAAAATAGCCCTAGATATAAATCAATTCTTTAAAATCTATTTTTTTTTTAATTAATTTTCAACTTCATTTGAATGTGTTTTGTTTTAATTATTTTTTATATGCTTTTTATATTTTAGTAGATTTTTTTTGTATTTTTTTATTTTTTTCAATAAATTTTTGACTGCCCGGGATTTGTTCGGTTAGAACAGTTGAATCGGTCGATTTACCGATTATGCCGATTAAACCGCTTCCGGCCCATATTCGGTTAATCGTTTCGATTTGATTTTGCGAACACTTGTTCGAACCCAAAGAAAAGTTATAAGGTTGGTTAAGGCGACCTATGAAGCGCCGGGTTCCACCCAACCTAAGAAATGTGGTCCTCCACCCCAACCAATGGAGAGCCACATTTCAGGGGTGTGAAACACCGGCTTTTTCGTTTGGGTGCATTAATAATCATATACAATAAAAACTCGTAGTCATTTTTAGTTATTAAACAACAAATCAAATGACTTAAAGTCTAAAGGCGGGTGATTGTGACATTCTTGCCAATAATATGGGCATATGATAGTACAAAAAAAAAAGAAGCTCATAGTGAGGATGGTAATGGATTCAACCAGACCCGAGACCCGATGGGTGTGGATATGGATCAAACTTTTGAACCTGACAGGTCGGGTTTGGGTTCAAAACTTGGACCAAAATATTATTCGGGTATGGGTCCAAGTCCAGGTGGACCCAACCCATACCTAACCCATTGCCACCCCTATGTGGGCTGTCAAGCATTTCTTGGTTCGGCCTAAGGACCCAAGAATCATCACACACTGTCAGAAATGGTGATATCCAAAATCACCCACATAAGGAAATCCCATATGATGTGGGATTGAGATTGATATTGATTAGTTTCTTAAAGGAAACAGAAATCCAAAAAAGTTAAGATTTTGGGATATATCTCTTGGTTCTTGAGATATATGTAACACCTATAGGAAGTTTCCTATTTAGTGTGGACTCCTAACCTTTTATATATATATATATATATATATATATATATATATATATAGTAGATAGAAGTAAATAAAGTAGTACGTACCTTACGTCGGACCACATAGTAGTAGTGTCGTCTTCTAGAGAGAGACGACTAACTACTCCTAGTAGACGAG